AAATCGGATCAATAATTGTTCGATTTTCATTTATCCGGATAATTTCTATCCGAAAAAATCTTTAATATAATAAATTAAATTATTTAAATTTACCTATATGTTTTAACATATTAATATAATTATTATATATGTATTAATACTGTAATTGGTCTTATTTTTTACCGTTAAAAGAACATCAGAAAATCATTTTCCGTGAATGTAATATATTACGTCATTTTCAGGTCTCATGAGAGCTAACTTAGAATGTCTAATTGATCATTTCGTGACCAAAATTTATCTTTACTTTGCTATTTAGGATTGAGATTTTAAATCCATTTATAAATATATCATTTTATATAAATGGCTAAAAGCTGCAGATTTTGTTCAGTTTTTGCTGCCAATCTGGCGTGAGATTGCCCTACGCAGATCTTGCTCGATTTCTGCCGCCAATTTGACATTAAGTTATGTCAGCAAGCTTTGCTCGGCTTTTGCCATCAATTTGCTGACAGGTTATGTTCACAGGCTTTGCTGGCAAAACATGAGCTTATTGCGGACACAGATGGCATCGGATTTGTTACCAAGTTTTGACCGAATTTTATGCCAATTTGGCGACAATTTGCTATCAAATTGCTATCATACCTATTATATGTTTCGTATTATTAGTGACAGGATTTATCTGTTAAAGTTTACAGAAAAAATATTGATTTTATTCTATAATAGGAGTGAGAGTGACTACAGACCGTCAATAACATTTTTCCAAGTTAATTTTATCATTAAAAATATATTGATTTTATACAAAATTTATTTCAAATTATTTAATTAATTTTGTGTTAAAATATTAATATAATATTAGTGTCACCATTTAACATAAGCTAAATTTTCCAACAATATAGAGTAATTTTACATATTCTGTATCCAGCTGTCATCCGAAACTGTTTTCTATTGAACCATTGATCTACGGCTATCAAACATACACATATGTATATCGATACGTTAATATCGTTAAAACCACAGAAATATATATCTCGGACGCATTTTCAATTCGATCGAATCGATCCATATGTGAATACTTAAATTGTAAAAACGATAATTGTATAGCAAAAGAATGGAAAACTTCAATAATAAAAGATGTCAGACACACAGCTATTAATTTCTTCATTAATATAATTCTGCAAAATGTTTCTGAACAATAGATTCTCGAAATAAGCCTTTTTTCTTTGCTTTTGATTGCTAGCAGAAGGGATGTTTTGTTTAATAAATTACAATATATGAATTTTTAATAAAAGTTATGAAATTTAAGAGGTCTTCCTAGTTTGACATTCTGAAAATAAGACGATTTTCGGGAATTTTTTTTAAAGAAAAGTGTAAAATATATTAATTCTAAACTTTGCACGTTTATTAAATAACATTCCAAGTATATTCCGAATTTTTTTCAAATAAAAATATTTGTTTGTTTCGAAGTTATAGTAGTCCAACCAAGGTGTCTTAAAAAAAAAATTATTCGTGGCGAACATGATTCCAATATAATCACACGATAATCACACATACAGATTAAGAATCTTCTTGATTTTTTATTTCTGATGATTATAACGGCTGGAATCATGTTCGCCATTTTTTTAGACATCCTGGGTGGACTACTATAACTCCAAAACAAACAAATATTTTTGTTTGAACAAATTCAGGATATATTTGAAATGTTATTTAATAAACGTGCAAAGTTTAGAATTAATATGTTTTATACTTTTATTTAAAAAAATTCCCAAAAATCGCCTTTATTTTCAGAGCGTCAAACTAGGAAGATCCCTTAAAGAAGTATATATACTCGATATAAGAAAGTACTTGTTTTACAATAGATTTTCTATCCGCATTTGTTTCTCGCTTAATCCTAGTTTAATTGATTTGATTATTTCTCGCTTTTTAGAGCTATAACAAAATCAAAAAGAGCTAAGGAGTCGATTAAACTACCATCGAAAATGACTGACGTTGATGAAACGGCGTATTGTTAGTGGACCATTAAGGAGACCCTAAAAAAGTACAGAAGAGATACTAATAAAGTTATTCGCTAAGCGAATATTCGCTTATATTTGAATGATAACTTTGGCCATTGAGCCACTGCCAAAGGAATCTATATATCGCTGCCATAATCCCGTAATTATTGCTTCCGTTCTCGACGTGTTTAGTCACCGAACTCTGCCTGACGGCGAACGTAGGTGTGATTTTATATAACCGGTTCGATAATCGATCACGTCGCGCGACGATCCATCTGACATGCCGTGCCTGTGTCTCCTGCTCCACCTGCAAGCGAAAACCGTGTTATTCGTGTCGATTCGAACAATCGTCAACTATAGGAATATCAATCTGCATGCAAAACGCGATTTCCTTTCGGCAAAAAAATCTCGCGTGGAAACTTTCAGACTCTTCTGATTTGCTTCACAAATTGTGAAAAAAATACATACAATTGTGAAAAGAGAAAAAAATAATTTTTTTTCTATAATTGTTCTTTTTTACTTTTATTCTTATTTATAGTGTATAAGAATGATGTATTATTGCATTTCAAATTATCAAATTTAAATAAAAATGTTTATCGTATTTTTTTTGGTATAACAACTTCGACAAAGAAAGATTATGAATTTAATTTGTTATTATATGTATATGTCAAACTCGGAATTAGAATGCGTAATGTTTCTTACATGTGCGTGTAAATTTAAAATAGCATTATCTTAATATTTAAAATTTTTTCTTTTAATTTTTATATATTTATATAATTGTGTCAGAAAATCTTCACGCGAAAGTATCGAATTTGTATCTATCGCAAACAGTCACGGATATCCCATTATTACAAGTGAAAAAATGTATAATTTTCTTTACGCAATTTATTTAATACGATAATATTAAAAATTCTTTTAATCATCAATATAATCGATAATCACATGGGATTGACCGTCTGTTTTGCAAGATATGCGATATTAACGAGCTGAATCACAACAATAATTGTATCGCCGACACAGCATGACACATATGTCGCAATGCTTCATTCCGAAAATTTGCGTGGCACACACGGGGGCGATGTATATATATATATATATATATATATATATATATATATATATATATATATATATATATATAAAAAAAAAAAAATATATATATAGATGTCTTTGATTCTGATGTATTTGTAGAGTTCAGTGTCGAAAAACAAGCTAATAAGTAATCTGTCGACGTATAAATGATTTAATGAAATTGATGTTATGAATTAAATGGGAAGATAATTTAATTAATTTGTGTAATATATTGTACAGAATCGCGCAATAGGGATCGTGCGAAAGTTATTTCGCGGTAACATTGCGCATGTTTCAAGAAACGTACAAATATTGTATAATGGAAAACAACCAATTTAGATCTTTATCGGATGATTATGTTGAACGACAAACCTCGTAGCTAGTATTAATTACAGGATACGCCAATACATACAGCCGCACTTGAGCGAAATAATGTATTGCACATACATGATGAGCACGGTGGACGAAGCTTATATGTATATATAAATGAAATGCACGTTAACAACTACATATATGTATAATATATCAGAATTATAAATATTAGATAATTACAAAAGTTTTCGGTTCGATTTTCGATAGCTATAGTTGACATCATTAAAAATTATGATAATACTGTTTATTTAAAATATTTATGTAATTTTTATTGTGTTGAAGAGTGACAGACACTTTAGCTGTCATTTAAGCAAGGAATTATCTTGCTTGGAATATTTAAGTAACTGAAATAATCTTTGAAGATAATTGCGGGGATACAAATTCTGCATTTCACATAGGATTATTTAAGTTTTGAAATAATTTAAGCGTTTCAATTATCTTTCATAGCATTTCCAATGTGTATAGAGAGAAGACAATAAGTAGCAAAATAGTAGGAAATAATTTGCAAAATTTGGACAAAATAAATTTAATTTTTTCGATCAATGCTCTGGTTACTTGGATTTGTGATGATTTCGTTTGCAGTTTACTGAATTCAAATATACGAATTTATACACATGAAAAATGTTAAAAAATTGTGTAAATTTCTGAATATTGAACATTCAAGTTCAATATATAAATATATTTATCATTTTATTTAGAAACTGACTGCTTGATGTTTCATTTAAAATCAAACTAAAAATTTTAGCCATCCAAGAAATAAAAATATAGATGTAAAAATAACTGTATCATTATAATCTTATTTAAATTATTAATTAAAACTTTTAAATATT